CAAAGATTTACATCCCAAATCTGCTTCCCAAGATAAGGAGAATTACGACCCCTTCACATGGGCGCCTGGATGTGTCTGACATCTTCACAAAATGGTTTCACTGTGTGTGTGGAAACATTAGAAACACAGATGTTATGCTATTCTACATCCATATAACTAAGTGAGAAAGTTATATTACTAAATTACTTAAGTGATCAAGACATAAAATATACTTCCTGATTGTATGAATAAAATCTTCTCTTTTTTTTTTCCTTTTTGTCAGTTTAACAGTTTCTGTTGTGCCTGTCACTGTTCCCTGTCTGTTTTCTTACCTGGTTCTTCCTGATCTTGTACTTTCTCCTCATGTTCCCCTCTTTCCTCTCTCCCTCTTTGGACTGACAATCATACACAAATAGATTGTATTCAATTAGATGACAAATTGCATTAATATGAAAAAAAAAAAATATTAAGATCACTAACAAAAAGTTGTCTCTCAGTGTACTTTCAACCAAAGGGCAAATAACCAAACCACATGAACATCTAATAAAAGATATAAATGTTGAAACACTGATCCAACATTATTCTTGATTGATGGATCATTTGATTTTACACTTTTACCTGAATGTGGCTCCTTTTTTTTGAAAAAACTTCCTTATATCCATTATGAACTTGGCTGTCTCTCTGTATACACACACACACACACACACACAACAGGAGTTATAAGGTTAATGGGCATCCAGTCAGTTAGCTAGTTAGTATCCATTTCAAACAGGACAGTGGTAACAACAATAGGCTACGGAGAATTTTACGTTTTCGATTTTAAATAGGCTGTATACATTTCAGTGGGAGCAACACAACGGTCAAATGTCGCTGATCTATACTTTTGTTGTTAAAATGTTACTCCTCACCAAGTACTGTATGCTTTTTATATTTTTAGCAGTGTGTCACACAAACAGCAAATATTGTCAAAAAAGTAAGAAATCTTTGGGGGTGCTTTGATTCATTTTGGGGGTGCTGAAGCAAAATGGGCTAAAATTGCCCCTGCTTGAAGTACTTAAAATAGCACTTTATTTTTATGTCTGCCCAATTTTGGCCATTTTCTTTGTGTTTTGGATTGAAATGCAGTTTAAATGCTTTTTTTCTTTATTCCAGTGATGGCTACTGAACCTT